GCTCTGTTTGGAGTCCGCCAATCTTGGCGGTATATTCATCGCGGATGTTCTTGCGGGCAATGAGAGGAAGCTTGACTGGTGCCGCCATTGTATCGGTTGATATACTCAAAGGTTGAGAAGTATATACGGTATATATGGAGCAGGAGAAAGAGGTAAGTAGTACCTAGGTATACTAGCTATCAAAGCTGATTGCTGAAGGTTTGAGTGCTGTGCAGAACGAAGATAGGCCTTCGACAATCGACGAGAACGTTGCCTTTTATAACATATTATTCGATTAAGCTGACCCCTCTTCTTCTTCCCGTCTGCTCCAAAATTGCCAAGCGGGTAGTTGGAGCTTTGTCAGGCTTGTGAAGCTTGCTAACAGGCCACCACGATGCCAGTTTGCTTAAGTGGCTGCATCAGGGTCCTGTCTTTGTCTCAACGGGATCGCCACCCGAGCGCTCGGGCGCTGAAGCATTCCCCATCTGGTAGCTCGATGTCGTCCCTCAACAAAGCCGCAAGATCATAAGCCTGGAGCATCATGTGAATGAAGAACGTGCGCGCAAACATGCACACTTCTCATCAATGTGCTCATTGACGATGCGGCTGCAGATGAAATGAAAGGAGCCATGCTGCGGGTGCCTGTCTCTGCCTTTTTGGCCTGCATCATGCACGTTAACGTTGGTAGAAAGGTCAAATCCGCAAGCTGCTCCCGAGCACGCGCTCGATCGGACCAATGGCAGAGCTCAGTAGTCGAGCTTCCGACTCTGCGGCCTGAATGTCGGGCGGGGTACTTGTTGGACCAAACTGGTCAAGTCGATCTTGGAACCTTGCCCAGGTTTCTTTCTGTTCGCCAGCGCTATCCAGATGTAGATGCTGTTTGCGGCTGTAGCTCAAACAGCCCGCAAGGCCTCTAAGTCTAGACGACTCCTCAGCTCATGTGTTTCACTCTTCTATATTTCAGCCGCGACTGTGAATATGGCCATGATCTCGTCCACGCAAATGTACTGTTCAATGGCTCCGCATTGTGATTCCAGTAGCATCAATATCGCGATCGAGTTCTGGCCTTGACGTAGGCCAAGTCAGCGACCCACAATTGCAATCGAAGATGCAAGGCGGCTTCACCTCTGAATTTGCTATTGTTCTCGGCTATCGGCGAAAGTTTCTCCCTTGAAACCTCCACGACTCCACTAAGCTTGGCGACAAGGAACAGCTTTGCAGAAATGGCCAAACAGAGCAGGGGAAACTCGCTTGCGTGCTGCATTTGTGCGAGGCAGCTTTGAGGTGCGCCTGAGCTACCTCCCAGCTATCCCAATGGACTCTCGACTCAAGGACCCTGTCAAAGCTCTGTGCAGAAACCGACGGGTCTTCGCCGCGACTCATTGACAGGGCCGGACGTGCGCGTGGCTTGCAGACGAAACTGCGGTTATGGCTCAGATGATTGCCTAAGCTGTCGCAATCACTCTGTATTTCTCTCATATGATCATAACGATACCAGAATCGAACCTCAATACATTCACCGCTTCCTGGTATTCTGCCGGGTAGCACTGACTCTTTATCGCTGAACCCCGGACTCCCTTTGCATCGATTGCCCTACCGGTGCCGAGAAACCATTCACCTGCCTCTTTGTGAATATCAATTGATCGAAATTCAGCCGTACCATCGGAACCAGGTCATATCCCGGATCCCGATTTATAACTATCTCAACATCATCGTTTGTCAATTACAGTGACCGTTGAGTCACTGTCGAACAACACTCCATATCACTTACTTGATTTCACTGTCAGTTGGGAAAGATACGAAAGGCAAATACAGCAGACAGGCGCCATGGCTGATACCAAACTGTAAGTTACAAGTCACACAACCCCATCTACGATATGATTTCCCTTGCAAGCGAGGCAAGACCGAACTTCCAGGCATATGCTCATCGCCCATATGCTCGTCCATTTGTCATCTCGTTGGCATCATTACGGAACATGCGGCAACCAGTCAATGGAACATCACTGGCAATATCCCGTTGATCTGCAGAGCAAAGACGCATGCAAGACTTTGCAACTGTACTAACCGGTCTCCACCACCTATCACACAGTCCTGTAAAGATCCGCATGGGAATCCGTGACTCCTGGGACGCGCCCAAATGCCCCTTCCGTGTCGCCATAAACGCACTTTCAAAAGTCCTCGGCACGTCGGTCGAAGTGATTGTCGACTGGGGCTTGCTATGGAGCGTTCTCTCACCTCAATACCCCGATCCAACCACATTTGTCCCATCCATCGAGGAGGCAACAAGGATTTGGATGGAATGCCTCCAGGAACGCCTTGAGAGCGACGCATTGGAAGACTGGGCGGATGAATTCCTGGAAAAGGTCAAAACGCCAGGTGGCATCAACATCGAAATTGGAGTCAGCGAGAACGGCATGGACAGACCGGAGGCTGTATGGGAAGAAACTGGCAGCAAGTTGTCACTCCTTTTCCCCAAGTCAACAGGGAGGGTCTACTTGAACACCCTGCAGGCAGGGTTCAGGAGCGATCTGGAGCACCTTTTCACAAAGAAGTCCGCTCCGACAACATCTGGAGCTGCGAGTACGACACTTCCTATTGGAGGAGCACCGGCAGTGGACGAGGATGACTGGTCCGTAGTCCCGCCCACATCGGGTGCAGCTTCCGTGGCAGCTCCAGTCCTGAGAAGCCCAGACACACCTCAGGCGCAGACAACTGCAGATGCTCTGCCTGAGAGACTGCCCTCACTCGCAACGTTGGCCCGTCCGGAAGTCCTCTTCGAAACACAGACCCCCTACCTGATCTACGTTCGTAAATATGGCAACAAGGAGCTGCATATCGAGGGGTCACACCAGGGGAGCCTTACTCTGATTTGTGAATATTTCCAAAAGTGGGTCAGGAAGGACAGAAATTACAACGGCAACGTAAGTCTGGCAACCAGCACGGCAAATGCTGTTGATAATTGCGAAAATAAAACGCACGGCCACGCGCTGACTCGGGTCTTTGTTTAACGCAGATCCTCGAACTCGAGAAACAAACGTCTCTATTCGGTTTGAACGCTGGATTTGACTATGTGAAAATCACTTGCAACCGCTGGGAGCTTCTGAATCCAACACCCTTTCTTGCATTTATCGAAATTGTATTGAAGTATAAGCTCGTTGAAGCCTCTTCTGGAGTGACATGGTTCTACAGGCGAGACACAAAGATCATCTAGGTTTCAACCTTCTATCCCAGTTTCTTTGCTAGTCTTAAGTCTTATCTTTTTTTCTATTTCAGTTGATTGTTATATTGACTTTGGCACTCTTTGTCCTTTTGACTTTGTAGCAGCTTGTCCATTAATTCAGCATGCTTAAGAACCAGTCACAACGTTACCATATACAGACATGAGCTGCTTTAAAGTTTGCACTTGAATTCAGACAGTATATACTGTAAGCTCGTCGTTGGTTGCATTGTCGAACTTCCTGATATGACCTGGGAAATGCGAAAGAAGTTACTAAGCTTGAGTGAATTCATGTACACATTTCATCAATTCTTTTCAGTCTCGACTCGAATTCAGGCCTGAACTCGGTTCGGTAAATTCTGCCGAGTGAAGCTTATGTATTGTATCTTGTGCAGGTAATTCCCACGCATGATCGACCGATGAACGGATCGCGGACCGTTCCGAACTTTCGGTTGATATTACCAAAGGATTCGAACCAGTCGCTCTCGAAATGTATACATGAATGTTGTGTGGGATTCGATTTCGTTCCCCCCATATTAATTTCCGCAGTTGATCCTCGATTCACGACCAGTACATGTATACAGATAAACATGCGCTTAGGCGCTGAATATGTGATTTATTCGAACATAAGCTAACGGTGCTGCTAGCTAGCCCGAAACTATCACATCCCAAGCGACACGCTTTCAAAAGGCTTAGAGACATCATCGTAAAGGCGCTAGATTTGGGCAACGTCCTTTTCGTCTGGCTGTTTAGTCCGCTGCCGCTTAGTCTCCAATCAACGAAACTGTCATCTGGCAAACCGAGGCAAGTTTGTGGGGCTACTAAACCATCGCCGGCAAATGGCGTCCGCTAACTTCTCACGATGTCAATCGGCTGTACTCTGTGCCCCAAATTTCCGCGCATAGTACACGCTGCTACAAAACTAAGTATATACAGCCCAATTAAGCTCCACTCACACTCAGAATTTCGATTCGACGGCCTATTCCGAGGAATTTGACACAGCCAATCAGCACGCAAGATGACGTGGTAGACGGAACTCCCTGGAATGCTTGGCAAGTATTTGCCTCTCGACGAGGAATGCAATGTGAGGAACAAAAGAGCGAGAATGTCGCTCCTATCTAGGAGATAAACAACGATTGCCAAAATCTCTCCACCTCCAAAAATTTCCGCGGGAACTGAGGGATCGCACCGAGCCGTCAGTCGCACAAGTCATCACGCGACCGGACCAACGCAAAATCTCCAACATTTGCACATTCCACAATCTTTGTCTCCTGTCCATCGACTTTCCGGCAGCCGGCAAGATGACCTACGCTAGTCCGACCTTCGCAACCAAAGTTGCGCCTCTCATGGCAACTGCAGGCCCATACACAAACGGCGCCTGGACGTCCATTCTGGCCGCCATCTTCCCCTTTCCAGATTACCTCGTCATCCCAAGATATCGCATCAAATCTGATGGTATAAGCTCCAAAGCCGACCTAGTCGTCTGGGACGTCCGGAGCGACCGCGCGAAACTAGTCTACGAGGGCAAGAAAGTTGGTAAATCAACGTCAACAATCAACGAAGCGGACGAGCAGTTGAGCGGCTACATCGGTGCTCTAGGTATCGTACACGGTGTTGCAGCGGTGGGGCAGACCGTGGCCATTGTCAAGAAAGTCAATGACAAGTTGGTTGAGTTGCAGTGGGATGGCAGTGGTGTGGTTGAGAGTGAGGGTGAGCACAGATATGATGTGGTGAAGGATGCAGACAGCATTGAGGCTCTGTTAAAAGCAATATAACCAAAAGAAGAAAAAGGTAAAAAAAAGAACTCTCAGACGGGGAATCGAACCCCGATCGTCCGCGTGACAGGCGGAAATCTTGACCATTGGACCATCTGAGATATTGATTTGGAGGTTGACCGGAAGGCGGTGATGTTGAGAGCCTGCATGCGCAATTGACGGCTTGTGTCAGAATATAATTTATCTTCCAAGGTGTTTGTATATCTCACAGCGGCGAACACTTTTAATTAATACCAGTGCGCAGCAAAATAAACGAATACACTAGCATTTAGAACTCACCTTTAACTTAATTTGAACATTGAGATTTCGAGGCGACCGCAGCGTCTAGAGCACACCGACGTTCCAAAATGACATGCTAAGTCACGATCCAGAGACTCGATCGAAAGTTATAGTACTAGGAAAAATTCGAGGATATATATACATGGTATCATCATGGCAAAGGAATGGGAAGCAGGGAATCCAGGAGTCGACAGAGAGGGGGTCGATGAAATGGTAGCAGTGAGGTATGCAACAGGCCTAGAACCTCAAATCTCAACACTTCTGGGTGCGCCATATGTGCCTCTCCACTGGAGTGTCTGATGCCTTATCCGAATAAACTGGAGCGAAGATGGAGTCTCCGACAGAGTGCACCTTGCCTGTCAGAACCGGTCGGATAATAGCAGATGGGAGGGCTGACCCTTCTTTCCCTTCACCTTTCCCATCCCCTTTCCCTTTTCCTTTCCCTTTTCCTTTCCCTTTCCCTTTCCCTTTCCCTTCCCCTTGCTTCTTCCTCGGGAACTTTTCTTCCACCGCTGCTATCATCTGAGTCCAGGTTTTCGAAGGCGGTTGTGGTTTACTATCGAATACCCTTCGTACAATCGATGTCTCAGTCGACCGGGTTGAAAGACCGATGTCTGTGGCATAATGTTGCGCCGCAAGTTGCCGCTCAGCTTCTGTGAAGCGAAACGACTGGTCTTTTCTAGCCTGCGAGCCAAGAAGCAACCTAACAGGCTCATCAATGTCGTTCGGATCGTGGACACATGTACTGAATGCAACCTTGTCGAACGTTGTGAAAGACCTGTAGAGAGTGAGCGCGGACCTGGCATATAGGTCCGTGAGCCCCAAGAAAAATCGTCTGTCTGGCCAAGGCGAGTTGGGCACGTGTTCCCCGCCGAACAGCTTCTCGCTAGCGCTGCGAAGGCTTATGACAGCTGATTCAAAGAAAGCAGGTGTCGGATCCATAAGCCCCAGTCGCAAATCCCTTGAGCGCACAGTCTGAATTGGTGTGCGGAGCGGGCTTTTTAATACCACTGCACCTTCTCCATCTCTCCGCACATACGGTAACAACGTCGCCAGCGCGATAGTTAGATGGCTGATGAAGTTTTTGGTGGTCAGATAGGGATTTTGGATGTCGAATGGGTCCCCGTGATCACGACCAGGACAGCTAGTAAGAGCCCTTCCCCATGGAGCCCAGTTCTTCGAGAGCCTGTCCTCACGGGCAGAAGGATGTTCTTCTGAGTCGAGTTGTTCACCATAGTTGAGATTTCCGTTGAGGAAAATATAGCTGACGGGATGCGGACCATGCCTGTGCTTGTACTTCTCGAAATATTTTTGAATGCGCTCTCTATCCGACTGCTTGCGGACGGTGAACATTTGCAGAGGGCGGAGTATGGACCCACTCTTTTCCAATGCTTCCTTGAATTCAGCGTTTCTCTTTAAAAAGTGGGCTGCCCGAGAGCCTTCACTCGTATAACGAGCCATGTAGTGAATGTCAAGTGGGTGCTTCGTCTGTTGCAGAATACGGTACAAAATTGCTGTGCCCGAAGCCTCGTTGGCGCCGCAGAAAAGAAGAATTCGACGTGCCGGATGCGACATGTCGAAGAATTACGCGGCAAGGTGGTCAGCCGGACAGTTCAGGTAGCGGGCTTGTATCGAGACCATTCAGACACACGATGGGAGCCGCATTTATCGGATAACTATGGAACCGTCGGACTGCGTTGATACTGGTTTAGGTCAATGCACACCCAGACGGCCATCAGGAAGTAGATAAGAGGGGTAGCCTTGGTCGCGGCCCACGCGGCGCAGCTGCTGGGGATGTTGAAAAGGATGCTGGAAACGTCGCGTCGAAACGGTGGTTGAGGATGGCCGAAACTTTCAATAGATGTTCAGCAGATAAGATCTGTGCTTTGTGTTGTCAGGCCTGAGAGCCAGATAAGATAAGATCTAGATGGTCTCGCGTGCGAATTACATAAGCTTTTACAATCAACAACACGTGCAACGCAGGACGGTTCCAATGCAATTTCCCATTCTCAAAAGTCTCGCATTCCTCAACACTCAAGGACTGGCGGACTATACCGTATCACAGTTCCTTCCAGTAGCCAGCTAGTACTGCCATGCGGCAACCAGTCCCTGGGCTACGAAGTGAAAGAGTGATAGTCGTTTGTCGCCTCAAAAAAGTCTAAAAGCTGTAAGCTCTCTGACTACATTCCCTCGATGAAATTCGTTACATTTACATATATGCTGTACCCATACTCTACTCTCATATTCAGCTTTGAACTTACTAATCCTGGCGAAAACATATTTACCTCGCTACCTGAGTCCCTGTCGATATCTTTGACTTTGTGGAACGGAATTTGAGTACCTGGAATGTGGGCACCCCGCTATAGCGCTAGCGAGACCCCAGGGGCATATTGCATTCCCTGCCCCATGCCTAATATGGGTTTTCTAGTTGCAGATCCAGAATAAGCTTTTTCTGGCATCGTAAATTCTGCCGACGTCGAATGGCTCGCGACCTCATGATCTCGGGACATAATCCTGAATTCTGTAATCAGCCAACACTCTAGTCTGTATCTGCTGATGTTGGGTTTTCTCGTTTTCACTGCATGCAGGGATCCGAATTCTGTACTTATTTGTATTGAAAATGGCTCTATTCAAAATCTCATGGGAATCGGGCAAGGGATTGTTGTGGGCAACCACTTGTATCCCCGGCCGGCGCTCTGGTGATCTGAACACATCCCTAGGACAGCTCGAGGAGCACTAGCCGTGTTGTGCATATGCATATCTTCCGGTGTGATCCCTGAGCATCGAATTAACGGCGCAAAAGGTCCTCCCCGCTATAGTGATGTTTATGGAAGTTTCTCCGGATCCACTACATGTCCACACGCTCAATTGGCATCTCATCAGACAGATCGCGCTCGGGACCGGTGCAGCCTACAAGGTCTAATGTTAACCCAAAGGTCTAGATGCGTAGCTGGGAATGCCATGCAGCTCATTCTAATCGCCTAGATCACGCCATACACGTACGTATACGTATATGTCGCCCTTTCCAGATCAGTGCCTCGGTATACAGAGCTATGCCTAGATCGACCCTTCTCTGACCTGGAATATTCCAAAACGCGAGCACGAGGTATGTAGTATGGTGCCACAGGCCAACATGTACGCGTAGCCACCGCCACTGTTAGACTGATCGGAAATGCTCTAAATACCAGTGGACCATACTGTTACTGCAGTCAGCTCATTTTCGAGCTTGAGCCCTTGTCTTCGAATGAGTATACTCTGGGCGGATTCCTCTCTTGCTTTACAAATAGGCTCTCTAGGTCGTCGCATGATCTTTTATATGTCCACAATACATTCCTCAAGTCTAGCGATCAGGGCGACACAGAATCTTCATTCCATTGGCTCAATAATCTCGGCTTTAAACCAACGCCGACAGAGACACGAAGTGTGTGCCTTGCCAAGGTTGTAGTGATTTCCAAACACCCCAACACACAAGTCGGCATCGTGTGCATACAATCTGCGGCCTATGGATCTGGCACTCCCAGCACAATGTTGTCGTCTCCCTTGGAGAACTCAGATGCCTACAGGAACGTACAGGGATGCCCGCTACCTGGCCGCTGTGTATAAAGAGTGCGTCATCCGTCAATTCTGTTATCCCTTTCTCATCACCATCCTCCTCCCTCATCACCATCTCCGTACACTCTCTTGGTACTGGTCATTCTTTTTTTTTTTTATGTCACTCGTTACCTTGACTCACTATCGTTAAGTCCATTGACTATTTCTTTTTGTATCTGTTCATCCAATAGAATCGATACAAGGCATCCTGAGGGGGCCACACATACTCTGAGAACCACCAAGATTTGTGGTTGAAATATCACAATGCGGAACCTCCAGCTCGCGGCAGTGATAGCGCCGCTCCTATTGGAGTCGGCATACGCAGCACCGCATCAAGCCATCTACGGAAGATCTCCTGAACTTGTGGAGAGAAACCATGACCAATGCGGTCCCACTACCTATACAATCATCACCCCCAAGCCGGGAATGAAACCCACCCCGGTCACTGCGCAGTTCCAGCCAGTTTACTCGTGCATCCCAGACTACGTTGTCTGCGATTCCAACGACAGAGAGAAGTGCGAGACCATCTACGAGACTACTTCGTATAGATGGCTTTCCACCGAGGTCCCATGCTACAACGGTGTCGCCACCGTCACGCGCGTGGATCAGCCTGTCACTATCGCCGCCTACCCAACAAACACAATCGAAACCTGCCACTGTGGAGCGGCAGGCGCTTGTTATTACGCCGCTACTTCTACTGTTGTCTCCAAGCCCACTTCGTTCCCATACATCAACTCCGGCTGGGATTACCACGTTTGCAAGTATTCGGACTACTACCAATGGTACAGCGGAGACTATAGCCCGGATTACTCTGGCAGCGGTGGTGCCGGTGGCTCCGGTTCATACCATATCGAAGGATCTGGTAGCAAACCGGCTTCCTATGGCAAAGGCTGGTGGAACAAGAACAGCTACGGGCACGGAAACGGCTACGGTAGCAATGTTGCGTACGGAAGACCTCTTGAAGTTGAATGCCATTCTTGCATGAACGGCGTCTGTTCAACTTACCCTCTCGGCCTGGTCACAAAGACATATGTCAAGACTCATGTCGTCAAGGTTCCTTACGAGATCAACCGTTATTTCCCTCACAGCACCATCCTTCGTGCCGATGAACTTGGTATCACAATCACCATCATTGGCCCAACTAGGCTTAACACTGTGATTACGGGTGTCAGAACTGTAGTCACGACTGTTACCGCCACTACTACCGTAACACCTAACGGTGGCGTTATCG